ACTTAATTGAGGTTATCTTTAAACCATATGATTTATTGTCTTTGATTGGAAATGAACAAATGTTCACCCAAAGGCAGAAAGTTCCAGTAAAATGTGCCATTTAAGTTTTTATTTGGCTCTTTCACCAAAAGAAAAAGAATTTTTTTTTTTACAAAATTTGTCTAAATGTGTCATTTTCTGCTCACTGTTGCACAACAGAGTTTTGAGCAACATTTTAAATTTTTTTAAATTCCTTGTATTGCATGTGTTGCATACACCATTATAGGGTTAAAAACATTCATTATTGTGATGCGCACTTGTGAAAAATGCAGCATTTAACAGAAAACATCTCATGTTGGAATATTGGTGGACGGTTCTGTTAATTTCACTAAAGAAATAAAGCAGAACTTTCTCCACCTGGATGGCGTCAGACTTCTGTAAATATGTGCTCATCCTGATGCACCTTTTTACAATGAGGTTTACATTATTTGTTAAAAGTCTCTCAGACTAAAAGTCAGATCTTTTCCTAATGAGTTAATATGCCTGAGCTCCGTTTTCTGCCCCGGCTGAGCTCAGACCCAGCCCCCCTTTGACCTTTGACCTTTTTGGAGCGGTGGCCTTTGCTGAAACTCTCCTCCTGTCTGCAGAGCAGCCTGGGAAAGGCGTTCAGCCCCGTCCTGCTGGTGGCGCCGGTCCAGATCATGGCGTGGCTCGGCCAGTACCACGACCACTGCGAAGAGATCCTCGGCCATTTCAAGTAAGTGTGACGTCTCCATTTAACCCAGAGCTTCTCAAATAGTGGGGGGGCGATACCTGGTGGGGGCGCGTGTGACCCTGGGGAACAGCCTGTTTTTTTATATACAGGACTGTCTCAGAAAATTTGAATATTGTGATAAAGTTCTTTATTTTCTGTAATGCAATTAAAAATCACGAAATGTCATACATTCTGGATTCATTACAAATCAACTGAAATATCACAAATATTTTAATATCGCTGATTATGGCTTACAGCTTAAGAAACCCAAATATCATATCTCAAAATATTAGAATATTGGATTTTTTAGTTTTCTTCAGCTGTACGCCATAATCAGCGATATTAAAACAATAAAAGGATTGCGATATTTCAGTTGATTTGTAATGAATCCAGAATGTATGATATTTTATGATTCTTTACCACCATATTCTAATTTTCTGAGACAGTCCTGTGTAGCCTCCGTTATTCAACATAACAACCCCCAACATGAAAAAGTTTTAAACAGGGATGAAAAGAAAGCGGAGAGAGACAAAGATAACGAGACAAAAGAAAGTCACCCGAAAGCTAAATGTTTTATATATGGTGCTCCTGAGTTAATGTTGCTTAACTCAATATAAATTAGTTATTATTTTTGTTGTTTTTGTAGTTTATTAGTTATTATAATTATTAAATATTATTTATTGATTTGATTTAATTTTGCAAAGGTGCAATTAGTTGGTCAAACATGTTTACAGTTTAAACAAGGATTTATTTATATTTAATTTCAGGCATTGGTCCACTTAAAATCTTTTCTGTTGCAGACTTAAAACACGATTTAATAAAGTTATTCTTTGGAAGTTTGACCATATGTCTTTCTTTTTTTCTTTAATGTTAATAAGGATAAAATGTTATGCAGAGATGGATTGTCGCGGTGGGGAATAGTTTTCTTCTTGCTAGGCGTAACAGAAAATAATTGAGAAGCACTGATTTAACCTAATGGGGACATTTAGCTTAACTAACCTTAGCCACAGTTTTAGCTCCAAACAACATTTTGAAATTCTTTGACATTTTGAAAACGGCTGTTGACTTCTGGATGTAAAAGCTTAGGTCCTCTTTCGGGTGACAGATCGTTAAAAAACAATTTATTATAATGTCTTCGTCTCATTAGAATTCTTTCGCTCCTTTTAAACACCAAAGCGCCATTTTTCTGGAAATGAGCACTTGGCATTTCCTCTGTCCTGGCCTGAAGGAGTAGCTGATCCTGAACTAAGTGATGTGGAAATGGAGGCCCATTCTTTGTTTAACCCTTTAACACCCGAGTTTATTGTCCGTAAGCAATTTAAAAATGTTGTTTGTGCATCTTCTTTCCACCTGATTGGTCCGTTGATCAAACCAGGACTCGGGGAAAATGCTCCCAAGTGTGTTTTTTGAACATGCAAACGTTGCCTTTCGCAGAGTAAATCCTCTATTTTAAATGCGCTGTGCATGGAAGTGGAGGGCCACAAATCTCTGCAGGCTTTAGATGGCTCCCTGCTCCAACTCCCGACTCTGGTTAAATGGATCCCTTTAAAAGATTGCTGAGTCTGCAAAAAACCTGCAGATGGAGTATTGAGGTGATGAAGCAGGGAACCCTCTGAGATCTGCAGATCTGTTTTGTTTTCTTTCTTTTTTTTCCCCCCTCTCTTCCTGTTTTAGGCATCTCTCTTCTTCGTTGTTACCTTTTCTCTATTCTCTTATACTTTTTAATTTAATCTTTTGTTCCCTTTTTTTTTTCTCTTTTCCTGTCCCCCCGGTCAGGTTTGGCATTAACCATCTTACTTCTGTAACAAAAATAAATCTTAAATAAATAATGAAACAGTATTGGATGATGAGGGGAGGCTTCTCACCCTGACAGGCCTCCCAAAAATGAAACTCAGAGATTACAATTCTTTTGCCATAATGCTAAACACGACAAGGGGGTAGGAGAGAAAGAAATAAAGCTCCTCCGCCCACCAGGGGGCGCTGAACCACCCCCCATGGACAATACACGCACCTCAGTTTAGTTTTGTTTTCAACTTAATGTTTTCTTTTTGCAACTCAGTGCAATATATACAGTGGGGGAAATAAGTATTTGACCCCTTGCTGATTTTGCAGGTTTGCCCACTTACAAAGAATGCTTATTTTTCCTCATCAGATGGTTATCAATTTTTATAAATTCATATGTGATTTTCTGGAATTTTCTTTGGGATTCTGTCTTTCACTGTTAGAATGTAAATATGATTAAAGTTATAGATCGTTGCATTCTTTGTAAGTGGGCAAACCTGCAAAATCAGCAAGGGGTCAAATACTTATTTCCCTCACTGTACATACTTCTTTACCCTGCATATAGCTAGCTCTGAGCTCTTAGTTATAGAAAACATATTTATTGTGTAGGAATAAGGTCTTAGCTCTGTTACACTGGTAGCCAAGTAATCGACATTTCGTTGTCAAGATTCACCTTGTGTTTTTTGTGCAATGACAATAAAGGAAGTCTAAGCCTAAGTCTAAGTGAAGGAAGATGAAACCCCGTTTTAACACCCTCCATCTCTTCAGATTTGCGTACATTAGAGCTGTGAGTCCTTAGAGCCTCTCTGTGTTTGCAGCCTGATCCCCAACAGGTCCCTGAGCCCCGGCGCAGAGCTCCCC